CCTCCCGCCCCCGCTCAGAGTGCCCCCCGTCCCCAGCCTGGTCGTCGTCCGTCCCCCCCCGGGTCCTCTCTCCATCCCTCCCTACCCGGGCAGCCCTCATTCGCCCCCACCAAGCATCAGGGCAAACTCAACCCCAACCCCAACCCGCCTGCGGCGCAGCCCACAGAGCATTGTAGCCGAACGCACGCCAGCCCAAGCCATCAGGAAAGGGTTAAGGGCGGCTTGGCTGCAGGTACCAGAGGCATGATAACAGGCTGGAAATATTTAGAGGGCGTGAACAGCAAGAAGGGCGAGGGATGAAACCACGGAGGAATTACAATAAAGAGGCTCTCTCTCTCGCTCGCGCTCTCGCTGAAGGTTTTCAGGCTGATGTCAAGGCCGATTTCCTGACAGCGGGGTCAGCCTGGCTTCGGCGCCGCTCTCCAAGGCCCTCCTTGTTGGACGGGATGCTGCGGACGAGCTTTGGCCAGGATGAGCCGGCTGGGAGGGGACCGGGGCCGAGGTGGGAGCCAAACCCCCGGCCCAGAGGGGTCTTGCAATGCATCTACGATGGGGAGGATGTTGGAGTGCCCCAAAGCCCCCCGTGCCCCCTCTCTGCACCAAATCTGGGCACCCCAGGCTCTCCAGAGCCGTGGGCTGGGGCAGAGACATCCCCTGCCTTGGGGGGGGGATGCCAGGGCTGGACATCTGGATGCTCCAGGCTTACAAACCTGGCGTAGCCTCAGGAAGGGGAAACTGAGGCAGCATGAGATGCTCTGGATGCGTCACCGTGCAAGTGGGGGAAGAAGCTGCTCCGAGTGCCCGGGACGGGGTACCCCATCCCGGTGCCAGCTCACAGCCGCAGGAGGCTGAACGCAGGGACCGGGGATGATCTGGGGACGGTCACGGGGGCTTTCGGGAACGGGTCCGCGAGATGACCGGTGGGGATGGGGCAGGCAGAGCCGAGAACCGGGGGGGGAAATGCAGAGGAAATCACTGCACAGTGCTGCCCCAACTGCGGGCATCGCTGGCATCCCCGATGTACTGGGCCGGCTGCCGGGGACACGGGCCTTGGCTGCACAGGGACAGCCCTCCGGATCGGGGGGCAGTGATGTCTGGAGCCCCCCACAGCTCCCATCACCCCCCAGCCCAGCTCGGGAATGAGGGCTCCCGGTCGGGGGAAGCTGAGGACGTCGGCACAGCGGGGGACGGGAGCACGAGGGATTCCCCGTGGGGATGGAGGAAGGGATGGATACGC